GCCCCTCTCGGGGTCCCCCCTGCGCCGGGCTGGCGTTGGGAGCCCTGGCCGAGACCCCGCTATGGGGTTTTAGCCGTGTCCGTTCTTTCGGTGATGCACATGAAGGTATTTATATAGATAGATACGTGCGTATGCACCCTCCCTAACTCTTATCTCGTGCTGTTGATGGAGGAAACACTGTGAAAACAGAGCTGTCAAGCACACACAAGATAAAGTCAAAACTATTTCTTCATACGCTACTGTTGTCATTTCTGACAGTTCTGCCCCGTGCAACATCTAAAAGACACTGTGAGAAGATGCATGTTTTACTTTGCTCTCCTTTAGTTCTGCATAGAGAAAAATAATAATAGTTTTTAAGGAGTATTTTGCAAGGTGCAGTAAGCAACAGTGGTGTTTTTTCCCCTTTGCTCCCCAAGTAGACATGCAGGGAGTGGATTAAAAATCCATGCTTTGCATGTAAACAGCTTGCCTGTAAGCAAAAACACATGCAAATACTTCTGGGTTTTGTTAACATATTGCTGTGTTGAACAGAGAGGTAAGGCTTATAAAAGGAGTGCATCATGGCACGAAGAACTTCTTTAATGTATTACATAGAGTAAATTCTTTTTGCATGTGTTTTAATTGTGTAGTTGTATCAGCAAAGCGTAAATAGCCACGAAACATATTGAAACATTTACTTTTAGCTTTCATTACTTAAATTTTTCTGTGAGTCGTGATGCTTTTCTTTGAAGACAGGAGCTCAAAAACTGAATGTCACTTCTAAAGTTACTGTGTGTGTTAGTGCATTGATAAATTGCTTGATAAATAGTGCAAAATGGAGCCTGCTTTAAAATAGTTTAATGTCATACTGTGTCATGTATTATCCTATTAGAGCAAAAAAATCTGTCAGAACAGTCCTAATAATGCCTGCCGAAAAAGCTTAGAGATCTGCAAAATGTTTGGCGCTAACATGTCTATAAATAGAAAGTGCTCCTTGTTTGAGCATGAAATACTTCRTCCTCAGAAGACTCTCTGCAAATTAAATTTCCAATGAATGCATGCGGGATTAATCTGTGGGTAAGTGCATTATACTCATTTGTGCAGGATTGGGGCTTTTGTTTATAATACTATTCATTTACTGTATTCTTGAACAATTTGTGGGAATTCTTGTTTCYGCAAAGGTTCCCATCTATTGTGATGAGTGTTTGCATTGTCGTTGTTCAAGAAGCATTAAATGCCCATAAGCGGCAGCCCATACCATGCACTCTGTGCATTTTCCTTCACAATGAACCTTGGGAAAAGATAAGGCTGCTCCTAAGTTAAAAGAAGTGGAGCTTATTACTGAGTAAGGGAAAAGTTTTATTGAAGTTCTCAGTTTTGAAGTGTCTCGTGAATAACTTCATGTTGGGCCCTTCTTTCTTCAATATAACCTGCTCCATGACTTTTGTTTTGAATGAGACTGGGCAATGGAAGGAGATCAACGTTCCTGACCCCAAGTGTCAGCTGAGGACTCGGCTACAGATTTAATTTCTTTCCCCATGTTGATTTCCTTCTTGTGAAACCTCCAGCTGCTGTTACGTGTTTGTAGCCACAAATAACCTGGTGCAATGCAAAGTATATGCTAGGTGTTACAAATGCTTCAAACAGCCCCGTGGAGCCCAGGTGCCTTCCAGCGGGCTGTTCTGCAGAGGCTCAAGCACACCAGATGGGGCAGGTGTGCACGGAGCTTCACCAGAACCACTGGGTCTTTCCTCCGTGAAACTGAGAATGAAATAATTAATCCCCAGATCTTACTGCTTTTTGGATATAAGCCTGTCTGGCATGGATCGTCTTATACTGGTATAGCTCATTCCCAGTCTTGTAGCAATAAAAGTAATTGCCCTTCGCTGTAAGTGCTTCCACCTTGAAGAGGTGGGAGTGAATCACAAGCCTTATTAATGTAACTATGCTGCTCCAGAACCAGCTTCTAGGATAGCCTGGAGCCTTAACAGGATCAGTGGCCTTGACTGGAAGCTCTCGTTAACACGGATGAAGCGCTAGAGTGGATCAGTAGAAAGAACAGAGTCTAGAGATGAGGTATAGACTGGGTCAAGTTTACCTGGGTGCTCCTTGCAGATACTAAATGGGCAGTGTCCTAGTGGGGGGATCCCTGGAAGTGGATAGCAACCAGAAAGTAGGTTTTCAAGTGTTATACCATCCTGAAAATCTTGTTTCTTTGATACTTTCAAGTGTTCTTCCAAAGTTTGCAGTACTACKAGGCCAAATTTATGTATGTTGGTTTAATTGTCTTGTTTTCTTTCACTTACCAGATCTTCTTTCAGATGGCTGTAGATGTATTCAGGCGGTTAATGCCTGAATATCTAAAAATGTGCACAGACGGATGTGGTATTGGATGTGCTGGCACAGTCCTGCACACAGGGTACTGCTTCGTGTTCAGTGCCAGATCAAAATACAAAGTCGGTTTGTTAGCAATATTCTACTACATCCTGATTTTTTTTTTTTTTTTTTGAGTGTGTTGTGATGTGGTGCTTTAGGATAACAGTACCAACAATGGCTTTTCCTCATTGACATTTTTCCCTCAATGGCATTCTGGCATATCTCGCTAAGCAATGAGCTAATAGTAAACTTTCTCATGCTAAAGCATAAATACAAACACGTGGCGTCTATTTATATAACTCTATAGTCAGAGATGGGTATGCTAAAAAAAAAATCTTGCAAGTAATTCTTGGATTTTGATCCAGTTGTGTAGAAATACTAGCAATAAAATGCATACATTTCTTATACTTGAATATGTGCATTTTTTGTGTTATTTTGAAAGTATAACTTGGCAATGCGTTTTCTTTTAAGTCTTGAAAATCTAAATGCCAGATTATAGAAAAGCACACGTGAATTCCCCTGAGAGCTTTTCAGCAGTTGATTGTTGTAGCAGTTCAAGCAAGCTGGGAGGTGTTGATTTGTTTGTGTTTGGTTGCTAGAGTTACTGTGCTCCTAATCAAAGGAAGAAATACTTTTTCTTTTCTTTCCCGCTCCCCTCGCATCCCCAGTTACTGTAGCCCTCTAATGAGGAGGGGAGCTCATTCTCATCAAGTGGCTGCAGTCGTGCCGTTCCTTGTGTTCTGCTCCTATTGCACTTAAGAGCAAATACATAGGTATCATTCACAAATGCTCCCTCAGCAATGATTAGATTTAGTTTTTTCCAGGTGTAACTTGACTTTGAAAGAATATTKGATAACCAGGTAGGGTTTGCTGCATTTTTATTCTGATATATTTCTGTTGAGCGTCAGCAGGAGAATTTTGTTGTTAATTTTGTGATGGAGGCAAACGATTCTCATTGCCAAGCGAAGCTTGTAGTAATGTCAGAGCCTCAGCTGCCTTCTGGAAATGCTGCCTTCCAGATGCCAAGGACCCCTAGGGTTTTTTTTAATCAAGATTAATGTTATCAGTTGTTTTCGGAACTAAGTAGGTAACTTAGGCACTGAAGTAATAGTGAGGGGATTGTTTCTTTTTGATTAGAAGTAAGATTCTAATGAGAAGCAATGTATAAACATAAACTGGGGGAAACCGAACAATTTAAAATCAAGTTGAATTTGGTGTTTGCTTGCAAGCTTTGCAATGGGCAGTCTGATGTTGATAGGATAGCCCTTTACAGTGTGATGCAAGAGTTCTTCTAACATGAGGGGTGGTTTATTCACAAGAAATGAAGCATAATGGTAACTTCAGATACTAAAAGAGAAGGAAGAGGAGGAAGAAGCAGTTCTTTATGCTCATCTCTTAAAACTTAAATTTGAATTTTAGGAAATGACTCAAACTTACACAGCACTGCTCACAGTGATGAAGAATGAGCAAACTTCATTAATAAAACAAGAATGTGCTCCTCTGTTCTTTTTTTTTCCTTTCTCATGCTCTTTTATTTAGCAGCCTTATCCATCCCCATTTTACTTGGATTAAATTACAACCAATTTGTTCATTCGACTCAACCAGGGAATAGGAGAAGGGAGGGCTGTAAACCATCTGAACTGAAAGGAAATGTAGTTGCATTTTGCCAGTACTAATGTGGAGTGTGATGTCATCATTGGAGAACTTTCCCAAAGCATCCATTGAGYGGGAAAGTTATTTGTCAAACCCCTCAAGACAACCATAATTACCTAAACTGCTCACTGTGTCTACTTTTAAGAGAGAAATTGGGACTATGTAGATATATGCAATAAAAAAAATAAAAAAAAATAAAATAAAAGAGCTGTTGTTGTATAGAAATCAACCTGGAGGGTAATTATATCCTGAGTACTATATCGTGTTTCTGGAATATATTAATAWTAGAAAAAGATAGCAAGATATTAAAGACCAAAAAAAATGTCAGCTACTACCTTTCGAATGACTTTGCCAGTAATGTGTTCTGATGTTTTTCTTAGCTGCCCTCCATAGAAATAAAATCTGACCTCAGTTTCTATACATTAACTGCTTATAGGCATTTAGGAKGATTACATGGACTGTTTGTTTTGCAGTAAGACTT